TCATCTTTATTTATTTATTTTGAAACATCACAATCTAATTAAGTAAGCCGTTTGTTTCTGAGGCCAGCAGTTGCGTGTTGTGTTTTTTTTGGCATGCTTTTTAAATGTTTTACCTCACACTTTTTCTACGGGAGACTTAAGTTGGGTGCTTGCGTCATCTGGGTCTCTTGACAAAGAGGTTTCTTGTGAGTTGTGAGTCCTACATTGTGAGGTGGCAAACCAGTATGCTGGGGCTTGGAAGATTGTTTCTCTGCCGAGAACTTCCACATGGATGGAAGCAACAACAATCCAACTATTGTGTTTTTCCCTCCACAATAGATTGGTGTGTGTATGTCTGGGGACAATCCATGGAAGAAATAGTGCACAGGTAGTCTTCAACTTATGACCACAATGGAGCCCCAAATTTTTGTTGTCAAGCAAAACTTTTGTTAAGTGAATTTTGCCCCATTTTGCAACCATTCCTGCCACAGTTGTTGTATAATCTTGTTAAGTTAGCCACACGGTTGTTAAGTGACTCCGGCTTCCTCATTGGCCTGGCTTGTCCGAAAGTCACAAAAGATGATCACATGACCCCGGGACACTGCAACGGTCATAAATACGAGTCAGTTGCCAAGCATCCGAATTTTGATCACGTGACTGTGGGAATGCTGCAACGGTCGTAACTGTGAAAAACGGTCGTAAGTCACTTCTTTTCATGGCCGTTGTAACTGTGAACGGTCACTAAATGAACTGCTGTAAGCCGAGGGCTACCTGTATTCCAGAACTCCTGGCTAAGCAGACATTATTTCCCACATATCGGGCGAGGGCACCAGGTTGGCCAAAGTCTTAATGGAAACAGAGAGGAGAGAAAGAAAGAAGAAGGGGGCGTCGGAGATCTGAATGGGAGTTGAAAGGCGGAGGTGGAGAACTTTGAAGAAAAGTCCTAAAGAAAGAGGAAGCAGAGGCTGCTTTAACAGAGGGAAAGCATCAAGATCCGAGGTCTTCAAACTTGGCCCTTTTATGACTTGTGGACTTCAACTCCCAGAATTCCTCAGCCAGGCACGCGTGCCTGGCTGAGGAATTCTGGGAGTTGAAGTCCACAAGTCATAAAAGGGCCAAGTTTGAAGACCCCTGATCAAGATCATGTGAAACGTTAGCATCGCTTTATAATCCCTTAAATAACAACTGCACTTAGACTTGTATACCGCTTTACAGTGCTTTACAGCCCCTCTCTTAAGCGGTTTACAGAGTCAACATATTTGCCCCCAACAATCTGGATCCTCATTTTACTGACCTCAGAAGGATGGAAAGCTGGGTCAACCTTGAGCCCCATCAGGATTGAACCCCTGGCAGTGAGAGCAGTGAGTTAGCCTGCAGTACTGCATTTTAACCACTGCGCCCCCTCAGCTCTTAAGAAAACAACACTTGGAATATTGCACACCCAGTTGTGGTTGTTAAAAATATCAAAAAGAAAGACGTTGAGACTCTGGAAAAAGAGTGCAGAGAAGAGCAACAAAGATGATTAGGGGACCGGAGGCTAAAACATAGGAAGGACGCTTGCAGGAATTGGGGATGTCTAGTCTAGTGGAAAGAAGGATTAAGGGTGACATGACAGCAGTGTTCCCATATTTGAGGGGCTGTCACAAAGAAGAGGGGGTCAACCTATTCTCCAAAGCCCTTGAGAGCAAGACTAGAAGTAACAGATGGAAAACACTCAAGGAGAGAACCAACTTAGAATTCAGGAGGAATTTCCTGACAAGAGAGAACACTTCATCAGCGGAACAGCTTGCCTCCAGAAGTTGTGGATCCTCCCAACATTGGAGGTTTCTGAGTTTGGACAGCCATTTGTCTGAAATGGTATAGGATCTCCTGTTTGAGCAGGGGGTTGGACTAGAAGACCTCCAAGGTCCCTTCCAACTCTGTTATTCTGTTATTTCATGCGTGCAGCCCACCAGCTCTATCCATTAAGGTCTCCATTAGAGGGGCTCAAAGTTTCAGGGATTTCCAGAACTTTTTTGAACCCCTTCCCAACGGGGTTGATACGAAAACAAGCAAAGCCATCTCTGCTGTCTACATTCCCTTACAATGACCTATTCACCTTTTTTTTTGTTTTGTTTTTGGTGCAAGCCGTGTGTGTCCCTATTGACCTGCTCTTCTCCCTATCCTTCCCACCCCATTCCAGCTTCTTTTTCACATGGCTGCAGTTACTTTCTTGCTGAGTGTTGGGGTCTTCCCAGGTGCCTGTTAACATGTCTGGCTGTAGGTAACTTCTGTCTCTTTCTCTTTTTCCCTTTTCTCCTTGTGCTTGTTTGTGTGTGTGTGTGTGTGTGCGTGCGTGCGTGTCTGTGTTTGTGTGGTGCTAACAGGGCGGATTCAGGTCTCTCCAGGTAATCCCTTTTCTATAATCCTACTTGGGCTGGGAGTGGGAGGGGGCACCTGTGCGTGGAAGCACCTCAACTGCCCCTTTGTGCTGTAATTGTAGTTTGCTGTGGTGTTAAAACAGCTGTAATTTAGCCTGTAGGGAACACGAGATCTTAGAACAGGGGTGGGCAACCTTGGCTCTTTTATGACTCGTGGACTTCAACTCCCAGAATTCCTGAGCCAGCCACGCTGAGGGGAAAGGGAGAGGTTTCCAAGCTGAGCCATGGCCGGCTCAGGAATTCTGGGAGTTGAAGTCCACGAGTCATAAAGCGGCCTAGGCCTAAGGTAGGCAACCTTGGCTCTTTTATGACTCGTGGACTTCAACTCCCAGAATTCCTGAGCCAGCACGGCTCAGCTTGGAAACCTCTCCCTTTCTCCTCAGCATGGCTGGCTCAGGAATTCTGGGAGTTGAAGTCCACGAGTTATAAAAGAGCCGAGGTTGCCTACCCCTGTCTTAGAAGATGGTGGTTTTTTTTCTTCCCCTATCCCAATCCCATGTTGCACAAACGTCTGGAAAAGTGGGATGGGTCTGTGAACTCCTTGATTCACAACAACCTTCCTTTGCTTTCCACGATCATTTTGCTTCTCGGTATACATCCTCTCCCTCTTTTTTTCCCCAGCGGGTTTGGTTCTTTCACTCTTCGTTTTTTTTTTCTCTTCTCCTCCCACCCCAAGTGTGGCGTTACCGCAGTTTTTCTCCAGTTCCTCAATTCCTCAAATTGTAGAGATTACGTATAACTCACAGAATATAACCCCTGCTAACAGGAATTCTTGAAATTTTGTTTATTCGTCACATTTTGGGACCCCCCCCCCATCTTCCCTCACAGTGGAACTCTGGGCGGTGTACAGTAAAATGCTAAGATGAAAAAATAAAATAAAAAGCATACAGCAGTTAAAGTTTAAAAAGAGGCAAGGATGATGAAAAGCAATGTTAAAAATTAATTAAAAAGCGGAAGGATGGATTTCAGGGCACCAGGTTAAAGAAACCCAAATCGTGTCCCCAGGGCATTTAATGTCAGCGTGCTCCTACTGTCTCTCCGGGGCTAAAGAGAATTGGTTTGCATGTTCTTTTTCCAGGATAGCTTAACTCAAACGTGGGGAACGTTTTCAGGATTCGTAACCTCCTAGCATTGCCAACTTCTGTTCGATATAATTTGTCGTTTTCTGGTCCTCCGTTTGGTGATAAGGGGAAAAGGGGGGCAAATAATTCCCACCTTTATAGGAGAGGGACATTTACCTTAACAGGTAGTCCTTGAGGTTACGACCAGAGTTGAGCCCCGCTTTTCCGATGCTAAGCGAGACGGTTGCGGCGTGAATTTTGCCCCCTTTTACTGCCTTTCCTGCCCCTGTTGTTAAGTCGAATCACTGCAGTTGTTAAGTTAGCAACAGGGCTGTAAAGTGAATCTGCTCCCCCCACCGGCCCGCTTTTGCCCGACTGCAACCGTCATAAATAGCAGGCCAGTTTCCAAGCAACCGAATTTTGATCACATGACCCGGGGGGGATGACGGATGCTGCAACGGTTGTGTGAAAAACGTGTCAGAAGTGCCGTTGTAACTTCAATCGGTTCCTAAATGAATGGTTGTTAAGCCGAGGACTACCTGTATGCATTTTCACCCTGGGTCTGCAATCCAGTTTATTTTACAGGACTCGGTCCATTTGGGAAGAGGGCACATATATTAATGCAGCCCAGGGCGGAGAGTCAGCAGAGAGAAGCTACAGGTTAACCTGGGCTGATTTTTCCTCCCCTTTTCCCCACCTCCCCCTTTTGCCTTTCCCGGCCTCTTATTCATGACAAAGGTTGGTCGTAGGGCCCTTGTTAGCAGTGGTGGAAACTGATCTCCACTCCTTTAGCTCTCCAAAGCCCACTTTTGGGCAGGGGTCCCACTGTCTTTCCCTCTGAAGACTTTGGGCCAAGCGTAGCCCCGACGGCCTCAATCCTGGCCTTTCGTTTCATCCTTCTCGGCTTTGGAAAAGGCTTCCATTCAGGAGCCCAGTTGGTACGTCCCGAAATTCAGCAAAGCTCCCTCCCGGCAGTGGCTGTCCTCGTACAGGTAGTCCTCAACTTACAGCCGTTCATTTAACGACCGTTTGAAGTTACAACGGTACTGGGGGAGGGGAGAAAAGGGACTTGTGGCCATTTTTCACACGGTTTACATTCGGATGCTTGGCAACTGATTCATGTTTACAGCGGGTTGCGGCGTCTCCCCGGGGTCTCCTTGTGCGACCTCCCGACAAGCAAAGTCAAGGGGGGGGGGAAGCCGGGTTCCCCTTAACAACCGCGGGACTAATTGACCAACTTGGCGGTGATCCATTGAAAAGTCGTAAAACGGGGCAAAACTCACTTGCGATGATCCATTGAAAAGTCGTAAAACGGGGCAAAACTCAACGAATTTCTCACTGAACGACACAAGCGTTGGGGGGGGTCAATTGTGGTCGTAAGTTGAGGACTACCTGCATCCGGACCCCGGGCAGATTCCTGACACGTTCAGTCTCAGGAGACCTACGGTGTGGGGCTAGCTAGTTGTAGGGGAAGCAGCTGGGATTCCGCAGGCCTGGCCTTACTAACTAAGCGCGTCCCTCTCTCCTTTCTCTCTTGAAGCATTTCTACCAGAGCAGGGCCCAGCCACCGACCAGTGCTTCCCGGGTGCAGAGTAACACGTCGGCTCGGCCTGGCCCACCCACTCATGTTTATCCAGCTGCTTCCCAGGTCATGATGATCCCTTCACAGATCTCCTATCCTGCTTCGCAAGGTGCCTACTACATCCCTGGACAGGTGAGGGTTAGATTGAGGCTGCGGCCTTTTTCGTTGCGCGGCAGTGGAGAGCTTGCCGTGCTTTCCCAAGCTATCGTGGGCCTCCTCTAAACTGATGTGTGTAGCTCGCCTTCCCCCTGGGGTTGGTGTTAATGAGGAGGAGAGGGGTAAGTGATCTGGTCTGCCCTCCTGCCTGTCAACAGATAGCATCCCAGTCCTGGCTCCAGCTGCCTCTGTAACACGACGGTCTTTGTTGTCTTTCGTCTGGGGATAGCTTGTGTTGGGTCAAACAAACGCTCGTTGGTAAATTGTCACCCGGTTGATGTAGGCCAGTGATGGCGAACCTTTTAGAGACCGAGTGCCCAAACTGCAACCCAAAACCCACTTATGCATGGTCGGGTGCCGGGTGGGTGTGGCCCATTGGGTAGGTGTGGCCAATTGGGTGGGCATGGCCCATTGGGTGGGCATGGCTGCGGTGGTAACAGCAGACTGGGTGGGACTAAAAAGTTCAATCAATCAATTCCAACTTTGCAAGATCTTTTTTTCCCCCCCCGCGAGAAGTTGAAATTGATTGATTGAACCTTTTTTTTTTGTACACGGCGGCGGAGGCCTAAAGCGAAAAGGTTTTATAAAACCCAGCTGAAGGCCTAGGACTGGGGCGACGGCACGCGTGCCCACAGAGAGGGCTCTGAGTGCCGCCTCTGGCACCCGTGCCATAGGTTTTCCACCACTGATGTAGGCAAATGCCTCCCGCCCTGTGGGGAAAGGCAGAAATGGGGTGCTGGCCTCTTGTCAGAAACAGCAGAAAATCATTTGGGATGAGAAGGTAAAGGCAGAGATTGGGTTTACCCGATGTGAGTCGACTCCTGCTCAGCTGAGCTGCTTGGACAACAACCCAACTTGTGGGCCGATTTTTTTATTTCACGGGATGTAACGGCTCTCACCGTGAGTCAGTAGCAAAGGACCGCTCCTCTGACCTTCCTCTTCTTATCTGTCCCGAGCCAGTTGGAAGAAAAATATGTATTTTGCACCATTTTTTAGGAAATGAGCTTGGCTCGGTTTCCGTAACGTGTCCAGGAATGACTGCTGAGGAAGCTTTACGGGAATTCTTGCAAAACTTACTGTCTAAACTCAACAGTTCACACATGAAAATGTTTCTGATTGCTTTTGAAGGTCAAGATGTAACGTGAGCTTTCTCCTAAAGCAAGGGTCTTCAAACTTGGCAACTTTTAAGACTTGTGGACTTCAACTCCCAGAATTCCTCAGCCAGCCCTCAGGGCTGGCTGAGGAATTCTGGGAGTTGAAGTCCACAAGTCTTAAAAGTTGCCAAGTTTGAAGACCCCTCTTCTAAAAATTCGTTCCCAGGCTATTCAGCTGAAGCCAGTTCCTTTAATTCCAGTCCCTTAATAAATATGAACGACATCTTGATCAGCTTAAAAACAAAAGAGTTCTGATGTTTTTATCATACAAGTCCTGTAGATGGCAAGCCTAATTTTAAAAAATGGAGACCTAGTGTATAAAAGAGAATGGGGAATTAGCCCACAGGTGAGGCCTTCTGCAGCTTCACGTGAAACATATTGTGTGGGTTTGGGACTGTTTTATATTGATACTACATATTCTTTAGTCCATGTGAGATTATAACGAAATCTTGCCGTGCGACATCAGCTCCATCCTGGGCCTCTCCCCTTGCGAGGTCATCCGGTTTGCTCTCCTGCTATTCTTCGCCTCTTCCAAACTCTTAATTTAGGCCACATTATCTCATAGGTATGAGGGCCTCGCCTTACAAGCATCACAAGAGGTGTGTCTAGCCGGTCGAAAGGAGAATCTTACATTGCCTTGTGAGATACAAGAAAGCAGAGAATCTCAGATATGAGAGCCATCTAAGCTTCTCCTTTCAGAGAAAAGGGATTGCAGAGTGACGGTTAAATTGCAGATAATCCATTACCTTTGGTCCCTCTTGACTCTTATGTGCTCTCCCTTCACATTTAAAGGTGTGGATTGTTGGTGCAAAAGGATACTCTCAAACCAGTGGTTACATTTACAATTACTAGGATGTAATCCGTGATGGGTGGTGTTCCCTGAGACCTGTAGGACAGAGGCCAGTCACCATAAAGGGAGACAGACTAGATCTGGCTTGGGGGGGGTGGAGGGGAAGAATTTAGAAAGGAAGGCAACACCATCTCAGCAAACAGTGTCGGAACGTTTTGGTGCCGGTGAACCAGACAAGGGGTGAGTAAACAAATTGGCTCTGCGTGAATCTTAAAATAAAAAAAAAGTTTTAAGGTTGGGAGAAAGATTTCTTAAGCTAGTAAGGAGAATTTACTCTTTGAACGCCGCAACTTAAAAGCAGAGGGAGGATCAGTATACAAAAGTATAGTTCGTTGCTGCTGGATCTGATGGACTCCTCTGGGCCACTTCCCACACTTCGCTGGCGCCTGCTTTGTTGTCTTCGGAAAGCAATCTTGAGGGTTCACCTGCTTTTATTTCTCCTCCTCTTCCAGGGTCGCAACACATATGTTGTGCCGACGCAGCAGTATCCTGTCCAGCCTGGTGCCCCCAGCTTTTACCCTGGAGCCAGCACCACAGAATTTGGCCCTTTCGGTAAGTGCACAAACGCCATGCCTGCACACGCTGCTTGGGTTTCACCCTAAAATGGCCGATCTTTCCCTTCTTCTTCTTGTGCCATATCTATTATCGGACGTTGGCGATCATGTTGGCGATCCTGTTTTTATCAGCAGCCGCACGAAAAAGAGCTGCTGAGTTTTGTCCAAACCAGTCCCTTAGATTTTGAAGCCACGATGTTCTTCTTCTGCCTGGACCTCATTTGCCTTCAGTCTTTGCCTGGAGGGTTAAATGGCGTAGGCCGTATTTTTCTGAGTGTCGCATCACATGTACGAAATATTCTAATTTTCGTTTTTTAATTGTTTTGATGATTTCCCTTGGCTTTCCCAACCGGCTTATCACCTCATTTCTGATCTTGTCAACCCAGCTTATCCGTAACAGCTGCCCTGTAAATCCCACATTTCAAATGCTTCAGGTGGTCTCTTCAGGTGGTCCCTTCAGATCTTTCCCTGGGGGATTGAAAGTGAGGGTGGTCCTCCACGACCACAATTGAGCGCCCCAAATTTCTTGAGTTTTGCCCCACTTTACCACCTCTCTTGCCACCGTTGTGAAGTGAAATCGTGGCAGTGAGTAGCACGGCGGTTCAGTAACTCTGGCTCCCCCATGGACTTTACTCGTCAGAAGTTCGAAAAAGGGGGTCACACATGACCCCGAGGGGCTCTGCAGCGGGTGCAAATATGAGTCCGGCGCCAAGTGGCTGGATGTTGATCACGTGATCATGGAGATGCTGCTACAGTCTTGTGAAAAATGATAAGTCACTTTTCTTGAAAAAGAGGTTTTACATTTTCACACGCTCACTAAACAAATGGTTGCAAGCCAAGGACCTGTACAGGTAGTCCTCGCCGTACGGCCAAAATTGAGCCCCAACATTTATGTTGCTAAGTGAGACATTTGTGAAGTGAGATTTGTCCCACTTTACGACCAGTCGTTAAGTGAATCTCTGCAGTTGTTAAGTGACACAGTTGTTAAGTGAACCTGGCTTCCCCATTGAATTGGCCTGTCAGAAGGTGGCAAAAGGGGATCACGTGACCTCCGGGAATGCTGCATAACCGTCATAAATACGAGTCAGTTGCCAAGCGTCTGAATTTGGATCACGTGACCACGGGGATGCTGCAAGAGTCGTAAGTGTGAAAAATGGTCATGAGACACTTTTTTCAGTGCGGGTGTATCTTCGCAGTCACTAAACGAATGGTTGTAAGTTGAGAACCACCTGTGTATGGAAATGTACCTGGATCAGAGGCAAGAACTGAGAAAAGCTAATGAAACGTCAAGCCGTGCATTCTTGGTCTACCAGTTAAATTAGCTCAGGGGTCTTCCAACTTGGCCCTTTGATGACTTGTGGACTTCAACTCCCAGAATTCCTCAGCCAGGCACGTGTGCCTGGCTGAGGAATTCTGGGAGTTGAAGTCCACAAGTCATCAAAGGGCCAAGTTGGAAGACCCCTGAATTAGCTAGTTCAAAAGCGTTGATGGCTTTTCTATTCGGTTCTTCTTCAGTTCTCCCTTTTCAAACTCTTTGTCTTCAGTTGTTTTAGGCTTTGCAGTTTATCCTCGCATATAGTGGCTTTGCTCTGATATTGATTGATTGATTGATTTTGTTCTCGTTGAAACGATTCAGGATAATACTCGGGAAGATGACACAGAGATCATGGCCAGAAAAACTTGGAGCGGAGAGGGAGGAAAACTTCTTGGTAGGAGAGAAGATTGGTTTGATTGAGTCCTTGAAGGGAAAATAAAAGTTGAGATTCAGTTGTGAAGAACTTGCGAATAAGGAATTCTAAATAAGGAAGTCTTTCTCATCAAACCTAATATTCTGTTTGGAATTTTTAAAAAAACACATCAAAAATGGCCTTTCGTTGAATTTGATTCCTGGATAACCCGTATTATGCATTATGTTGTTGTTAGTTGTGAAGTCGTGTCCAACCCATCGTGACCCTATGGACAACATTCCTCCAGGCCTTCCTGTCCTCTACCATCTTCTGGAGTCCATTTAAGCTCACGCCTGCTGCTTCAGTGACTCCAGCCAGCCACCTCATTCTCTGTCGTCCCCTTCTTCTCTTGCCCTCCATCTTTCCCAGCATGAGGCTCTTCTCCAGTCAGTCCTTCCTTCTCATTAGGTGGCCAAAGTATTTGAGTTTCAACTTCAGGATCTGGCCTTCTGAAGAGCAGTCGGGGTTGATCTCCTCTAGGACTGACCGGTTTGATTGCCTTGCAGTCCAGGGGACTCGCAGGCGTCTTCTCCAGCACCAGAGTTCAAAGGCCTCCATTCTTTGGTGCTCAGCCTTTCTTATGGTCCAACTTTCACAGCTATACATTGCAACTTTAACTTATATACTGCTTCACAGTGCTTTACAGCCCTCTCTAAGCGCTTTACAGAGTCAACATATTTGCCTCCCCCAACAATCTGGGTCCTCATTTTACCGACCTCAGAAGGACGGAAGGCTGAGTCAACCTTAAGCTAGTGAGGATCAAACTCCTGGCAGTGAGCAGAGTCAGCCTGCAATACTGCATTTTAATAACTGCGCCACTACGGCTCCCTCCCTCCTTCCCTCCCTCCCTCCCTCCCTCCTTCCTTCCTTCCTTCCTTCCTTCCTTCCTTCCTTCCTTCCTTCCTTCCTTCCTTCCTTCCTTCCTTCCTAAGCAATAGCACTTAAACTTATATACCGCTTCATAGTGCTTTACAGCCCTCTCTAAACGGTTTACAGCAAATTGCCACCAACAATCTGGGTTCTCATTTTACCAACCTCGGAAGGACGGAAAGCTGAGTCAACCTTGAGCCAGTGGGAATTGAACTGCGAACTGCAGGTAGCCGACCATCAGGAGAAGTAGCCTGCAGTACTGCATGTCGTCCTTGACTTACGACCGCAGTTAAGCCCAAAATTTCTGTTGCTAAGCGAGGCAGCTGTTAAGCGAATTGTGCCTCATTTTACGCCTTTCTTGCCACAGTTGTTAAGTGAATCATTGCTGTTATTAAGTTAATAACGCGGGTTTTTAAGTGAATCTGGCTTCAGATTTATGAGTCAAGTGTCTGTATTTTGATCATGTGACCATGGGGATGCTTGTAAGTGTGAAAAACAATCATAAGTCTTTTTCTGTTTTTCTTTTTTTTTTTGTCATTTCGAACGATCACTAAATGAATTGTTGTAAGTCAAGGACTACCTATGTAGAACAAAAAAGGAAGAGAGAACAATAAGAAAAGCTGGAGTAGTTGAGAAGTACAGTGATATCTTGGTATAATAATAGTAGTAGTAGTAATAATAGTATTAGTATTAGTAATAATAATAATAATAATAATAATAATAATAATAATAATAAAGTTGGAAGGGACCTTGGAGACCATCTAGTCCATCCCCCTGCTCAGGGAGGAAACCCTATACCATTTCAGACAAATGGCTGTCCAGTCTCTTCTTAAAAACCTCCAGTGTTGGAGCATTCACCGCTTCTGGAGGCAGGTTGTTCCACTGATTAATTGTTCTAACTGTCAGGAAGTTTCTCCTTAGTTCCAAGTTGCTTCTCTCCTTGCTTAATTTCCATCTGTTGCTTCTTGTCCTGCCTTCAGGTGTCTTGGAAAATAGCTTGACTCCCTCTTCTTTGTGGCACAATGAGTACCAGTTTTTTCCAAAAAGGAGTAATGTAGTGAGTCACAAGGCAGTTGTCAACGGCAGGTTGTAGCTTGTGTGTCGAGAACCAAACAAATGAAGAGTAGTGGGAACACAATTTTGGCATCAAAATGCGTTGATGCCAAAATGGATGAGTTTCAAACCAGAGAAGTACCAAGGCGCCTCTGTATTCTGTCATTGCGAAGAAGTAAGATTTTATTCCGTTTCCTCAAGGTGATGGAAAATGTAGGCTCTAAGAGAAGCATTCTTGAGAGCAAGATGGAAATAGACTCTTTAGAAAGAGTGCAGAGAAGAGCAACAAAGATGATTACGGGACTGGAGGCTAAAACATATAAGGAACGGTTGCTGGAATTGGCTTGGTCTAGGCCAGGGATAGGCAATCTTGGCTCTTTCATGACTCGTGGACTTCAACTCCCAGAATTCCTGAGCCAGCCACGCTGAGGGGAAAGGGAGAGGTTTCCAAGCTTAGCCATGCTGGCTCAGGAATTCTGGGAGTTGAAGTCCACAAGTCATAAAAGAGCCAAGGTTGCCTACCCCCTGGTCTAGTTGAAGAGAAGGATGTTCCAATAGCAGTGTTCCAATATCTCAGGGGCTGCCCCAAAGAAGAGGGAGTCAAGCTATTCTCCAAAGCGCCTGAAGGCAGGACAAGAAGCAATGGATGGAAACTAATCAAGGAGAGAAGCAACCTAGAACTAAGGAGAAACTTCCTGACAGTTAGAACAATTAACCAGTGGAATTGGTATAGGGCTTCCTGCCTGAGCAGGGGGTTGGACTAGATGACCTCTAAAGTCCCTTCCAACTTTTTATTATTGTTGTTGTTATTATTATTATTATTATTATTATTATTATTATTATTATTATTATTATTATTATTATTATTATATAACTGTTCTAGGCTGAACATCTGCTGAGTTTGAATCCTGCCTTTCGGAATATTGGGGGGAAAAAACTAAGCGCCTTTTTCCTTCATTTTCATTCTAGCACCGCAAAAATAGAAAAAGCAGGGTGCATGATCACAATTTACAGATTGCTGCAGGTAGTCCTCGACTTACAGTCATTTGTTTAGTGACAGTTCAAAACCACAGTGGCACTAAAAAGTGTCTTTCGTCCCTTTTCACATTTAACGACCGTCGCAGCCTCCCCCTGGTCACGTGATCAAAATTTGGACGTGACAAACTTGGCATGTATTTATAAGAGTTGCAGCGTCCCCGGATCACGTGATCCCCTTTTGCGACCTTCTGTCAAGCAAAGCGAACGGAGAAGCCTAGTTCGCTTAACCGTGTTTCTGACTTTACAGCTGCAGCGATTCACTTAACAACAGCGGCCAGAAAGGCCGTAAAGTGTGGGGCAAAGCTAACAA